TGACGTTAGTGATATAGGCCTAAAATTTTCTAAAATTTTCTTATCTCCGGATTTAAAAACAGGAATCACATTCGCCGTTTTCCAATCTATTGGGACCAACCCTGTCTCACGTATTGTTTTAAATATGATAGACAAGTTCTGTGATACAATCTCGGAACACTTAATGAGAATAACAGGTGATATACCATCAGGGCCAGTAGCCTTTGACTGATCTAGGCCGCGCAAAAGAGAGGCAATACTATGAACATCAATATCAATATCCGCCATCATGCCAGTAAAACAACTATTCGGTTAACGAGAAAAGAGTCAAAGTACAGGCTAGCTGGTGGAAGTCAAACATTTCGTCGTTTACCCTGAGACTGGTTTTTTTTTTTAGACCTGTCTGTTTTTTCTGTTTTTTTCTGTTTTTTTGAGACCTGTCTGTTTTTTCTGTTACTTCTGCTCTTCAAAAAAAAAACCAGTCTCAGGGTAAACGACGAAATGGTTAACTATTCGGTGACTCCACCACATACTCAGAGAGTCCCGGAGAAATACCGATTTAAAGTAGGAATTGAAGCATTCTGCCTTCTCCACATTTTCTTTTAACATTTGGCCGTCAACATTACGAACTGGGATAGAAATATCGTCTTTCCTGCATGTCTTCACATATTTCCAGAATACCTTAGGGTTTCGTTTAAGGTCGCAGTTTAGCCTGGTAAAAAATGACTGCTTAGCTAACTTCATTGTTACTTTTAATTGATTATTAATATATTTTAACCCTTGCAAATTAAGCACAGAGTTATTTTTACAACGTTTTTTGTAAGCCCGCCTTGCTTTCCCCAGTAGTTTCCGTATTTCGGCATTAAACCAAGGTTTTTGTTTACGCCTTTGCCGCAAAGTTCTTGAAGGTACAAAAGCCTCAACTAATTCCAATATTTTATTGCGAAACAAAATCCAAATCTACTCTGTTGTACAAGACTCAGATAAACATGAAAAAGTTAGAAAATATATCTGTAATGCATTATTGATGGCGTCAAAATTACCCTTTTCATAGATGAGTACTCTGCGTGGCTCTTGTTTCTGTTCAGGTACGCATGATACATACCAACTTTGTACTGGTGATCTACGCGGGATGAAACATAAGTAGGTGGCGTTAGAAGTTCACGGCATATGAAAGGGTTAGTATGATAAATCTTACGAAATAAAGTAAGGCGAAACATGCGTCTACGGTTCATTAGTGGGGGTAAACCGACGCTATTTTTCATTGAAGTAACACTGGATGTACGATGGTAATTAGAGAGTATAAAACGTGATGCACGATTTTGAACTGATTCCAATATTGCAATGATAGTGTTATCACCGGGGTCCCAGATAGAACATGAATATTCAAGTTCAGTACGTGCTAAAGTAGTATATAAAAGAAGTTTTAGTGACACTGGTGACTGTGAAAATTTTTGTTTGAGATATCCAAGCATGCGATTGGCGTTGTTAGTTACGTAGTTAGTGTGAGTTTCCCAGGAAAGATCAGAAGTTATGTAAACACCTAAGTATTTGTAAGAGGACACAGTCTGCAGCGGAGTGTCGTCAATGTAGTAGTTTGAGCATATGTTAGTATCACGGGAAACTCTCATGGGTTTACATTTATTAAGATTGAGTTGCACCAACCACTTGTCACACCAGTTGGATACAGAGGTAAGATCAGATTGGAAAACAGAGATGTCGGAGTTATTTGTTATTTCCCTATATAGTACACAATCATCAACAAATAAACTAATATTTGAGGAGATACATTCAGATAGATCATTATTATAGATTAGGAAAAATAGCGGACCTAAGACAGAATCCTGGGAACTCCAGATGCTACGGGAGAAAGTGAAGAGTTAGTGCCATTGGCATGTACAAATATAGAACGGTTGGTTAAAAACGATTCTATCCAGCGTAGCACGTTCGGATCAATGTTGAGGTTGCTAAGTTTTAATAGGAGTAGCCGGTGAAAAACTTTATCGAAGGCCTTAGAGAAATCAAATGAAACGCAGTCTATCTGGGAGCAACGGTCAAGAAGAGAATGAAGCTTATTAGCGAAGAGTAGAAGCTGTGCGTCTCAGGAAAAGGATTTGCGGAAGCCGTGTTGAGTTGGGTGATAAAAGAACTCGATTCTAGGAAACATGCGAGGTTAGAATATATGATATGTTCGAGTATCTTACAAGGAATGGATGTCAAAGAAATTGGCCGGAAGTTGCTCGGTGAGGAGTGGTAGCCACTTTTATGAATTGTAGCCACCTTACCAAATTTCCAGTCTTCGGGAAGGCAGCCTTCATCCAATGATTGCTTAAAAATCATTGATAGCATAGCTGATGAATACGACTTCGTGTTATTTAAGAATTTAGAGTTAATATTGTCAATACCGGATGAAGAGTAGAGCTTCATGTTATTAATTATTGAAGCTATACCATCATAGGATATTAATATTGGATTCATTGGCAAAAAGTCAGGGCAATTAAAGTTGGGGTACACAGAAACATCGCTGGAAGAAAAAGATTGTATAAATATTTCGTTTAGCAATGATGCACACTCCTCTTGACCTACTCGTTCTTCATCTCCGTTTGTAAGCTTCAGGTCACCGTGGTTATCATTAGGTTTGATTAAGTTCCAAAAGTGGCGAACATTTGTAGATAAAATTGTGGGCAACGTGTTAGTAAAAAAAAGTGCGTTTTACTTCTCATACTGCACGTTTATATTCCTGCTCGGCGCAATGATAGGCGTTAAAATGACTATCTTGTTTTGCAAGTTTGGCTACACGAAAGAGGCGCTTCTTTTTATTGGAAAGTCGTTTAAGTCTGGTGTTGTACCAAGGGGATTTACTTTTGAATGATAATGTGCGAACAGGAATATATGTACTTATTAGATAGGTAACTTTGTTTCGAAACAGACACCAATTTTCACCTACAGAGCGTTCGAAGAAATTTTCCACAAAGTAACTCAGAAATTCACACAATTCACTATTTATAGCCGTAAAATAAACTTTTCCGTAATCATGACTCTGTTTAACTATTTTCGGGGAATGACTTGTGGTAATATTTAGAGGAAAATGCAGCAATAAATGATCACTAAAGCCAGGTAGATAGGTAATAGGGAAAACAAGGTCGACGAAGGTTGACAATACAAGATCTAACAATAAGGCACAGAAGGGCGTAATTCTGGTGGGGCGAGACACTAGCTGAGAGAAATTGGAATTTGTCACTGTCAGGCGAAAAAGGGCTTGCGTAAGCTGTTTCCGCCGACCACACAATATTTGGATAGTTAAAATCACCCTGAAGGATGAAGTTTGCTGTGGGAGATCGCAAAGTCACTGTATTGATTATTAGGTCACGAAGTTTCTTCAGAAGGCTATCGTCACTTGAGGGAGGGTGGTAACAGGCACCCAAGATATATTTTTTTGTGATTCACGGAAAGGCAAACAAAGACTGTTTCGAAGTCACTCGCAACATTCAAATGAAGGGAATCTAGGCGACTGCAATCAGCACACCTGCGCCTTGGCGAGCTTCCCTATCAGTGCGATAAATTTTGAAGCGTTTGTTAGTAGTTAGGATTTCGTTATCATGAATCTTGCTAGAGAGCCACGTTTTTCTCAAAACTACACCATCAGCCCCGGTGGAGTCAATGGCAGAGCATAGATCGTCGCAATTTTGCATAACACTTCGGATATTACTAAACAGAACATTAATTATTTCGGGCGCTAAAGAAGAACCACTACCTCTCGCACAATGTTAGGGAAAGACAGATTGGGCAGATGCTGCGCGGGCACTTAAATTTGGTGTCACATTATTTTGGACGGATGAGGAAGTTTGATTATTATCGCCTCCAGGGCTTCTTGTATTTGTATTGGCCTTGCCCGGCCTTCTGTGATTTCCGACTTTATACACCTTGTCGTTCGCATTTTCATACATGAGACATTTATGGTTCACGTAAAGCTTATTTTAGCGCAGTTGGAAGACGCTCTTTTGCATTTTTCCAAACTCAAAAAAGTTTATGTCTTGCTAGGCGCGTAGCCGGAGAAAAATCTTCATTAGCCGTTATGCCGCATGCTTTAAGCTTAGGTCGTGATTGTAGGATTTTTTGTTTTGAAAGAAGAGAACTTGAAAATTACTGGTCTGCATCCTCCGACTGCGTACGAACCAAGCCTGTGGGCACGTTCAACGCATTCATCAGAAACTTGCGGACTAAGTTAAGTCGATAACGTATATAATATTTTTACGTTAGACTGTTCCCAAGATTCAGAGGCGGAATCTTTAATACCGTGAAAGATAATATTGCTCCTTCTTGAGCGGTCGTCAATATCGTCCAGGCGCTCGTGCAGTCTTTGGTTGACCTTAGTAACAGACTGCATTAATCCCTCGGCGGCCAATAGTTCTTCCCGGGTTGCATCGAGAGTTGTAATTTTGCACTCAACACCATCGAGCCAATTTGGATGTCGGTAACCTTTAGTTCGACGGATTCTTGCTTACGCTTTAACTCGTTAATAGACTTCCTAAGGCTAGCTTGGCCATGGTCAATCTTGACCGTACTTTCATTAACATCTTGCGAGAGTTTGAACGTGTTAAACTGCTTGGACTGATCAATAGACATTGGTCCCGGATTCGCCTCGACGCCACCAGAGCGTAACAAGAGAAGTTTTAATGTATCAGCGGAATGTAGGACAAGCATCGTATCTGTACACAACCAGTAATACAAAGAGCACAAAGAACAAAAAAAGCGCAATGACCATGGGCATGGTAACTCGAGAAGCCATAACTTACTTCGTCTAGAGTGTATAGAATACTGATATCTTACCTGTATGTAGAACAAGGAAGGGTTCGTCAGCTACATTGCCGCTAACGAGTCACCGTGCCCACCGTGCCCCCGGCATACGATACAAAAAAATAATTGCCGCATCATCGCACAAAAGGTCCTTCAGACACTGTAGCTCGATGCACGACCCGTTACGTCACAATCTTACACGCGTCGCCTAACGTGTGTCGCAGGAGAACGAGGTGAACCTGCAGCACATCGAGTCCCGGTCTTCGATGCGCTTCAAGGACGGCTACGAGTTTATCGTCAACTTCAGCCCGAGCTCGGGCAAGATCCACGAAGCCCTGGAGCAGATCAAGGACGTCTCTCAGTACGTCCAGGTCATCTCCAGGGACCTGCCTCCCAAGACTGACGGTGAGCCGTCGCTGTGCAAACCAATGTGTTTCCTTTCACTCTCTCTCTCTCTCGCTATGTTTTTTTTTGGGGGGGAGGGGGGGCTGGGGGGGGGGGAGGGTGGCGTAAAAGCTTAGTATGAATCAGAACCAAATAGTCCCACTTGCAGTATTAATTAGAACAAAATCTCTGACACTGATACAACCCAGAATATGAGGCCTACATTCGGCCCCCGGATGTCTTTAGACCGGCTCGCGGCGGGCCGCAATCCTTCCAACGCAACCCGGCCCGCGGCTCGCGGCCCACTTCCCGCAGGCCCGCTGCTGACGACGCAAAAATACGGACGCGTAAACAAAGATAGCAGAAAACAGGGTTGAGCAAAGATATACTCAAGAAAGTATTCATGAATAAAAATACTGAGATACGCGTGTTTTAGAGCCAAGATAGAGTTACTGAGCTACAATTGTCTTTCATGTGACGGGATATCCCAGAGATAGTTCGTGAAAAACGTAAAAAAAAAAAAGGAATCGCGGGATACAGATACAGACACTTGAACACATTTTTTACCGAACATATTAATAGTGTATGCTGAGGGTGTAGTTCGTGGCGAATGGAAATGAAAGTGACTCTATTCCTCACGTTTATGTCAGTTTACGCAACTCTCCTTACCTCAAACTTCTCATCTATTCAGAGCTACCATCCCGAATACCGCTAAAAAAACATGGTCGCCCTTAGTGGCCCACATATAAAGGTACCGGAGAGTCGAGACCAATGACGACTCCTCACCATGCGCTAGAAAAGGCGTCTATACCCGAATGGGACCCTGTTCTGCCTTAAAGGTGTGTCTCAGTTTCAGACGCACCTTCACGGCAAAGCAGGGTTTTGAAAGGAGCTTACCCTGCAATTCTTACAAGTGACCATTCTTGCAAGAACCGTTTCTTGTGTGTGCGTGTGTTTATTTTTATTTATTTTTTTTCAATTTTGGTGATTATGGTATATACCAGACACCACTGTGGTTGTGGTTGTGTGGCGGGTTCATATCGCAAATTGTGGGACCCCTTAAACCAAAAAGGTGCTGTTCAGTTCAGCGCAGAAAAGCGAAAGCTAATTGTCGAAAACAAATGTAACGAAATCCCCAAGTCTGGCAAGAGTATCGGGATACAAGCGATACATCGCAAATGCATTTCGCTTCAGAAATACAAATATTTTTTCCGAAGTATCTTGATAGGAATACATAGATGCACAGAAGTATTTTTAAAATACAGTCGCGATGCATTTGCGTCGATAAGGTGAGTCCTCTCGTCATATTATTCACCGGGCATTGTACTCACCAGCATCAGCATTCTTAGTCCCTGTTTCATATCTGTGTAACCTCGTCTAATAAAATCCATGTGCGTTCCCATGTATATCGTGCTTAGTGCCCTGTGTCATATATATTGCATATTGTCAGCTGAGTTCTATCGTTTTCGTGAGGTATCTGCCTATTTGAACGCGCCAAAAAACGTGCGCTTTTTTATTTATGCTTGATGAGTTTTCCAGGTTCACATTCTTGTGTAATGTCATAAGCTCTAGCTTAACACTAGATTGAAATATAAAGAAGATGTATTCATCCCATTCTTCTTTTTTTTAATGTTTTTACTCTGACACTTAATTTTGTATCTTATAATTGATTACTCAGCATTCTTTTTTTTTAATTTATCTATTTTATTTCTTTTCCGGGCCTCGAGTCAGCGACAGATCCCTGATCCGGGCCCTTAGCAAAAACGTTTTGAGACCCCCAGCTTTATCATCATCACTATACAGCCAATAAATAAGCTACGCTTTAGAGTAACGATACTTCAGTCACCCTGATGCTTAAAATCATGGTTGCCAGTTATCTGAACATTATATGAAATTGCAAGAAATGCTTTTCCGTCTCTCAGAAATCTTAAAACAGTTCGCCACAGCGCGAAACGACATCACCTGAGCGTCCAAACACTGCATCTATAGCTGAGGGAGTTGCATTTTGTATAGTGGCGATCGACAGTTGAGCCTGCTTTGCAATGAGCACCAAGATGGCGGTGCCCACTAGCAGATCGGAGAACGGAGTGCCGATACTCTAAGCGTAGCTCATCCAGTTACTCTAGAATGGCTTGTACAGCAGAGAGGAGCTTCAGATGTCCCGCATCCAGCAGGAGCTGCCTACCTTCGACAACTCTTCGGCATCTCGTGCTCCTCGAGGCCGTGGTGTGGTGTCTCATTGCCTTCTCTATAGGGAGTATTCACTAACGGCCATAGCTGTGTGCGCGAATGCTGAGCGCGTGCTGATGGCGAGCTTCCACAGTTCTTTTTTTAACGTGCATTCCCCACCATCATGAGTGCCGGTCTTAGCAGCCTATTGATGTGAGCTCGTTCTGAGCATGCGCTCTAAGCAGCACCCACAAATATGGCGTCCAGTGAATACTTCCTATACTCACAAAGCATGGCAGTTCAACGACAGAGCCGTAGAGTGCCCGGTCGCAGGTCTGGAGCGCGAGGATCTAGTAGCACAAAGCATTTCTCGTGGAACCTGGTCGTCAGCGCACAGCCTTTTGCAGCGGCGAAGACCCGAAACATGGTTTTCAAACCCGACGAAAAAAGAATCGGTGCACGAGGAACTCGAGGAGCACGAGCGTACATTCCATCGCTCGGGACAAGTGTGTTTCGGCGTCTCGCCGCAGCGGTGCGCCCGTCACCTGGCTGTCCTGGCTGTCTTCTCATCCGTTGTCTGCCGCTCTATCTTTTCGATTTCGGCGGCCTCTTCTCGTGGCGATCTACCAGGCCTTGTCAGTATAGAGAAAGCTATGGATGTCCTCATCCTCCGGTGCAGCACTTCCTTTGCTTTTCCTTCTGCAATACTCTAACCGATTGATTCCTCCTAGGTGGTCGTCACTGTACGCCGCGTCAACGCCACGCCATATTCGTACCATTTCCCTCCTCGTGACAGAAAGTTCGCTGCTCGCTCTACTGTCACGGGCCGTCTTATCTCACACAACGAGCGCGAGAGGTCGTGGTCATCTGCTGGTTCCGAAAGAGCCGGACGTTCGTATAGGCCAATCAGGGCCCCGAATCAATACGACGTCTGCCGATGTCTACACAATAAATATTTACGACGCCTGCTGGTCTGTTAAGTTATGGTTGCTTTCTATTTTGAACTGCTCCAATGTTGTCTGCCGCCTATGATAAACTTTAAATAAGCAATAAATATAACAGGGTGGAACCACTTTATTTTTGTCTGAGAAGCTTGAAAAAAGGCAAGAATATTTCCAAGTTTGTAAAAGCGCGCAATTAGTAAGCCCGCTTCAAGCCGTACAAACACGCCGCGCTGTCCTTGCGCAACGCAGCAGAGGCTGGTTGCACTATTTCTCCACGGGGTGTCGGGGCGTCGGGGCCGACATGCGCTCCGATTACAAACCGAAACTTTAAAACCCGTCGAATTTGTGCCGTTTTTTAGAGAGCCGTAAAATGCCGCGCATGCTTTCTATCGTTGTGAACTTTGTTAATTTAGTGTTTTTTGATGATGCTGAACAATTTTCTAATTGAAACCATGCCCTTAAACACAATATTTAGAGTTAGGTAAGCAAAAATAATCAGAAATCTAGTTATCGCGGACTTTAATACTTTTCCTAAATAGGCCCCTGGCCCAGGATCATAACCAGGTTAGCCTTTTTTCGTTGCGACGAGTAGTTTTCGCAATATTGAATTTGTCCACCTTTCGTGAAACACCCTGTATATAGTATATATATATATTGGGAGCGAGTGAAGATTGACAACTGCAGGCGTAGTAATAATGTTAACGTTCACATTATATATATATATATTTTTTTTTTTTAAAGCGGAAAAACTCAACAAGCCTTTATGATGCGCTTTGTCTCAATCAAATTTAATGGATGTTTCATAAACGTTTCGCTCGCTGCTACATTTTACTTTTCACCACTTGGCCATCAAACTAGCAGCTGCGTCTTTTCTGTACACGTAAAATGTTGTTATTGTTATATTTTTTCTCTCTAGAAATTATTCCATAACTCGGAATCTCTTCGCAGTTTACAATAATAATAATAATAATAATAATAATAATAATAATAATAATAATAATAATCTTTATTTTTCGGGTGCCCTAAAACGGCCGAGCGGCCTTCTCTTAGGTACACCAACTCGTACAATAAAAACTCTTAAACAAAAATCTTACTCATTAAAAAGAAATAGATATGCATATACACTGACGCGCTATGAAGTGACGAAAAGTTGGTCCAACTGACAGCGAAATGTAGGCAGGGGTGTGGTGATGTCAACTTGAGGTGGCACAATGCTGTTATACAATGTCTGTAAACGAGAAAGAGGTGACACATGGCATGGTGAGCAAATATCAAAACAGGTGAGCTGTCTCGTCGCGCGGAAAGGAACATGGAAATGGATTTTACTAATAAGCCATGAAGAATCAATGGCACCATTAATGATCTTATGCAGGAATACCAAGTCAAGGACTGTTCTTCTTTGTGATAAAAGCTTCAGCGAAAATCTATTCAGTAAGCATTCATAGTCATAATACACGCGTCATCCAATCCATCTATCATAAACAATTCGAACAAATCTTTTTTGCACACGTTCTATGATCAAAGCCTGTGTTACAGAAATTGAATTCCAAATTACAGAAGCAAACTCAAGCCTTGAAACCACTAAGGATTGAAAAAGATGTATTGAATAATGGGGCTTTTTAAAATGCTTGGTCAAACGCGATATAACTCCTAGAACTTTCATTGCAGAGCTGACACAAAAGAGACATGATTTTTAAAAGTTAATCCGCAGTCAATGAACACACCAAGATCCCTTACAATTGACACTCGTTCAATCGGATTTCCCTCAAGATGATAAGTGTTATTTATGATCGCGCGGCGTCTGCACAAAGATATCACTTTTGTTTTTAAAGGATCAAGAAATAACTGATTTTGTTTACACCACTGTGCTATATTAGACATATCATGTTGTATCAGATCACAATCTAA